GCTTTAGTTGCGTGTCTGTGACCTGTGAGCCCTTAGTTATTTTAAATGAATGTTTTGGTAGGATCATCTCATTGATTTTTATTCATCAGAACTTTTTTTTTTAATTGAGCAAGTACTATGTACCCGACACTGTGTTTCTGTTATCGATGGCAGATGACTTAGGAGACAAGACAATACGTGAAAAGGAATGTATTGATTTAAGAAACATATGCTAAATGCCAAATGAGAGTTACAACCACTAGGGGGAAATCCCACAGTATTGAATTGTAATCCTTGTCAAACAGCTGTCTTGACATCCCATCAGTTACAGTTTTGGGAAATAGAGTCAAAGGGTATAAACTTAGCAAGTTTAACAGAACACAGGCTGATGAATGTTTAAGATAGTGCAGCTTCTTGGAATTTCTCAATTTCCTTGTGAGGTTTGTGGTAATGTGTTCTCTTTAGGATACAATCTTGCCAGGTCCCTGGAAGTCCCATGTGGAACCAATAACCACAACATCCTGAAATTATTTTCTTTCCTTTTACGGTGTCAGACGGCCATTAGCAAGCGCTGTATTTGGATCTTGCATCAGGGGTCTGGGCCTTGTTGACGTAAGGCATGTCCAACCCTGGAGAGAATTTTATGACGTTGTGTGAGCCAAACTGATGCCATAGGCTGCGGAGCCTATGGCAAGATGTCAAATGCTCTGGAGAATAACAGGTTTGCAGCTTCTTTTATGCATTTAAAATTAAGGAGGGAGCAGATTACGTGAAGGTGGGAGGAAGCCATGTGGGGATCAGATTACAGGATACTTAAGATTATGTGCTCTCTTGAAGGTCAATACTCCCTTTGAGGGGTATTACTTCTGGTATTTCAAAGATGTGTTAATTTAGGTGCGTAAGAACAATGGACAGGCTGGTTTAAAATCTTTCACTAAAGAAGTAAACAAGGTTAGGTGCTCCTAGTGAGGGTGGTTACACCTTCAAGGGATCTGGAAAGGAGGATTTCCGGCATTTAAAAGGAGTAAACCCTTATGCACAAGGACAATGGACAGGGCTGGTTTACAAACCTTTTATTAAACAAATTATAGGCCCAGAGTGTGACTGCCCACCAGGACCTGCCCAATTGGGAATATATGATCAGATCATCCTGTGATGTTGCTTTCAGTCACTGAATTTAAACATACACGTTTTCATCCCCAATGGGCTAGTATGAAGTTAAATTTAAATCAACAGCCTCTGGTGGGATGAAAGGGGCTTTTTTTTAAAATGTTGTTTTTCCCCTTTGGCATCTCATAGATATATGACCTGTTCCAGCAACTCTTTCATTTCTAGTAGGCTAATACATATTTTATACATCTATGGTTTCTGGTGTGGATATAATTTCTAGTAAACATTATCTTTTCTTCAATCACTATTTACGTGCAGTGGAGAGAATAGATGCAAAAATTTCATGTTGAAAAAAAAATCTATGGAAGTTACACGTTGGAGACTTTTCCTCTGGTTTCAGACCATTCTAAATACTGGAAGGCTATTTATATATGTCTGTTGCTTGTTTTTACCTGGAAGTATGATTCAATGTAATTAAAATATCCAGCAAGAATATAGGTCACAGATCAGAAATGGATGTTTACTCTGTGAACCTGAAATGAACTTGGGCTCTTTTTTCTCCTTCCAACAATATAGCTGCAGTTTATTGCCCACAACAGTCTCACTCGGGATCAGTCCCTGGAGAACCAGGACCACCTCCCCCGCCCTCCCCCTTACACACACACACACACACACACACACACACACACACACACACAGGAAAGCAGCCAAGCTTCTGTATGTGTAACTCATATTTGTGCATCTCCTTTTTCTTAGCTTAGAGGCTCTTATATTCCGTAGGTTTTGTTTTTCTACCTTACAATACTCAGGACAAAATCCAGGGAGAATGTCCTTGGACTGTAGCCATGCTAAAATTTTACTTAATGCTCACGAAAGCACCCACACCCCAAAGCCCAGTGATAGGCTTCAGCAGAAAGTGTAATCTTCTTATTTGGTTTCAAAGTTCACATGCCATTTGCTGTTATAGATAAGCATGTATTCGCAGAGCAGGGCAGGACAGTTATTGCAGCTAATGACAGAAAAACGCCAAGGGGTCACAGCCTCTCCTGCAGGAAGAGGTGGCTCAGCTGTCCCCTCTCCTTAAACAGGACCAGGCCAACTGGCCTAACAGTCCTCTATGTACCTCCTTACCCCACTGAAACCTGCATCTTTGCCCTCTCCCCCCAAAGGTCTTCCCTCTTCTCCATGATATTTGAAAGCATCTTTAAGTTCTACCTGGGTGTTCGCCTGCCATGTGTACACTGACTAGCTGTGCGATTTTATATGGGGGTTACTTACGTCATTTAAGACTTACTGACCAGAGGCATGGCAGTAAAACTAGGGCTAAATAAAGGTTTTCTCAGCATTTGAGAAGTAAAGAATAGCCTTTATTTTAGAAGGTATGAGAAAGAGTTTCCATATATTGATGTGTGAATTCATCATCCACACTGAGGAAGTGGTGACTGCTCACATGCTTTAAATTGATGAAATAGTGAAAGAAGGGATCTCTTTCCAGACAGGAAAAGAAAAACAGAAATACTGTGTAAGAGCAACTGGGAAAAAAAGCTAAGTAGAAACAGATAGGGGTGCCGTTTCCTTTAAAGAGTCAGCACAGAATTTATAGTCTGACATTTCCTTTAAGAATGGGGCATTATTGTAACAAAGCAAGAAAAATAAAATAGTTGTATATTATAAACTGGTCATAGGGAAAATTGCAGAAAATACCCGAAGTAGCAGTAAATGGCAAAATGTCAAAAATACATCCATCCATCCAAGGAAGGCTACAATGCCCTTTCCTCACCCATTCACCCGAAGAGCTCCAGCTCATCCTCCGAGTCCCGGCCCCCATGTCTCCACCTCCAGAAAGCCACCACCAAGACTGCCCAGCAGCACCCAGTGCCTCCTCTGGGCTCCCTGGCCCTCACCTGTGGCTGCATTGTACATTTATCACCTTTAAAGGACTGTTTACCCTTCTGCTGCCTCTTTTCTCTCCCCAAGACTGTAAGAATGCTAACTCATTTTGCTTTGTATTCCTGGTGCCTGGAAAAGGTGAGAGGCATCTATCCACGTAATTAAGATCTGCTAAGAAGCTTCATGTAGAAACAATCGTGTTTGTCCCCCAATTCCCCTGCATGTGTTTTAAGGAATAGATAAAAATCAGTGAGACACTCCTATAAAGAAATAGGTATCTTTCTTCCATTACAGCTAAAGAGTTTGGTTATTATATATAAAACAAATAGGAAAATTCCGAAAGATGGAGGGAAGACAGACAGGCTAGATTACTTGGGGCCCAAGTCCAAAGCTACTTTGATGAGTTCCCAAGTTTTCCTGTCAGGTTATACATCCTGGACTTGGAAGTGACAGAGTCAGCAACCTGGAAACGCTGAGTACAGACAAAGAGAAGCCCCATAAAAAGGCCCTCTCCCCCGCCCTAGCCCCCGCCTCTCTCTCCCTCTCTCCCTCTCTCTCCCTCACCAAAGGAACAGAAGAGTAGCCTAGCAAGGGAAAAAAAACAGTAACTACTCCACTTCAGCCAAAGACTGCAGAACAGGCCATGACCCCACCCATGCCAGCAAAGACAGTGTGGGAGGCCTAGACTTCCACCCTTGTCAGGCTGTGAGCAGGTTCCCGGAGTCTCCTGCCAGGGCAGAGTTAGAGAAGGCTGAGCAGGAAACTGGTCATTTCATTCCCACCTGCTGACAATAAAGCTTCCCCTGTTCACAATGTCAGAGGAGACCATGTGGGGCAGTGCAGGGCGCCCCGCACTTCCCAGCCAGGGAGGCATCAATGGAGGTAAAGTTGGGAGCTGAATTCCTGCCACTTCCAATAGCAACAAGGGCCCCCTCTCACCCCAAGCATCAGTGGAAGCTGAGTAGGAAACACATCTACCAATAATGAGGCAGTGCCCCCAATTTCCCTGCTAGGGTATTAGAGAAACTCCGCTAAAATGGAAGGGCTAAGTAAGACCCACAGTCATAGAACATAATACCTAAAATACCCAGGTTTCAGTTGAAGATCATTCATTGCACTGAAAAACAGAACAATCTTTTTGAATGAAGAAAGACAACAGATGCCAACATAAAGATGACACAGATGTCAGGATTATCTGACAAGGATTTCATAGCAGCCATGATAAAAATGCTTCAATGAGCAATTACACACATTCTTAAAACAAATGAAAAAATACAAAGTCTCAGCAAAGAGATAAAAATTTTCAGCAAAGAAAAAGATAGAAAGAAAAACCAAGTGGAAATTTTAGAAATAAAAAGCCGTAACTGATATACTACAAAGAAACAATGGATGAGCTTAAGAGTAAATGGACTACACAGACAAAAGAACCAGTGAACTTGAAGATAGAACAATAGAAATTACCCAGTTTGAACAATAGAGAAAAAGTAAACATTAAAGCAATAATAATATACAGAGCTTTAGAGATCTGTGGTATTAAAACAAGAACCAATGAAACTTTCTAAATTATTAAATAATTTTAGAAGCAAATTATATTATCTAAAGGTCTCTGTGGCCCCAATGCTCTTGAAGAATAAGTACCGCCTGAAGGACAAATACAAATCTTGGTGCACTAACAGAACACCTAAGTTAGACCCAGGTGGCCTAACAGTGAATGTAGCCTTTGAAGGTTCACAGGTTGGCACTAAAGGATAGACACTATGCCATGAAGAAATCAAGTTCATTTATCATGACCACCCAGTAGATATGAAGTGGTAGGAACATGTTCTCTTCAAATCTATGGAACTTCAAAGTGCGCAGCTCAGCGCAATATAGCTCTGCTGCTGGTGGCGTCATTTCCGTGCATGGAGAAGAACACCCCTACCATCTCGGTGAAAAATGCCAACTTGTAGGTGTTGACAAGTTCTCTGAAGTTTCATCAAAATAAGACATTTTTAACAGTGTAAAAGAACCACTTTTAGAGCTGTTTTCAACCTTTGTTAATTATCAGTGAACAGAATGGGGGTATTTTTCTTTTTTGGTACAAATGTGGAGTAAAACTTTATAACAGAACAATATATTCAATACACAGACCTCCCCTCAAATTTTAACTTGTTAAAGCCATTAAATCTGAAGAAACCTAATCATAATTTTTTTAAACCCACAAGATAACATATTTTGGTTTTTGAGAACCTCAGAAATATTTTTCCATTAATTTCTTAAAAATTAAAACTACAATAAATGAAATTTCAAAATCGCTTTTAAAAGAATCAAAGATCACCTTGAAACTCTTGTGAAGATATTAACGTAACCTGGATTATTCCAATCCCATTCGTCAGTCTGGCATTGCCAGCCCCACAGAAGTTTATTAATGGTAATAAGGTTCAAATATCTGGAGTCCAATGTTCACAGGCTACTTCTGCCTTTAAGAGAAGTAGAAGAGCACTCTCAGGCTCGGTCTATCTTTATTCCCAAATGTGAACAGCCCTTACACGTCCAAACGTGTGCGAGACTCGGTGGGAGCACTTCCCAACCGCTGAGCTGAGGCCGCCGCTCCCAGGAGACGGTCGTATCCCAATTCTAGCTCCGGTCGGTGGTTCCAAACAGTGTAAGAACGCAGAGGAGGACTGTATGAAATACAAGGTTCTTTTAGCAAGATTTATGGTGAGTTTTTGGAATTTTAAAAAAAATCAGTCTTCTTGGTTAAACGTTGGCAAATGTGTTTTCAACTTTAAAATGTCTGAAATTGGCTCTTTTCTTTCTTGATAGAAGCTGAGTCCGGTGATGTGCTCCACATCTGTGATCCGAGCTGTGTGGAACATCACCAGCTCTTCAACCCACGATGACTCCGGCTTCATGTGCTGTGAGGGTGGGTGGAAAATGAAGCAGAAAAGTCACTGAAAAATAGTTCACTTTTCTGACAAACTCTCCATGCCCCCCATTTTAATCACCCTTGACCCTCAGGCTCCCAAAGGGTAGATGCCACAAGATTTATTAGGCATGATCTCTGTTCTTGACTAACAGAGTGTAATATATTCTATGCATGTTTGTTTAATTAGAGGCATCAAATTTGGGAAAAGCAAAGTATACCTGGGTCACATGATCATTTATTGTATGGGTACAAGAAACTGCAATGGCATGGGGTTAAAAAATGTTTGAAAACAGAAGCAACGTGAGATGATAGAAAGAATATGGGAACTGGCATAAAGAAACCTGGATTTAAATCACAGTTCTACCATTACCCTACCAGGTAAATATCGGAATCCTGATTCTCTTACTGTACCCTCCACACAGGGTTGTTCTGAGGATCCAATGTAATGATGTGTGGAAATACAGAATAGAAATGCTAGTACTTACCAGAATCAATTAAATACATAGTTGCAGTGAAGAAAGGGTTGAGGGAAGTGGTAAAACACAATTTGACTTCCAGTGAGCTAGTGATGTCTTAGCTATAGGGGATCGGTGGAGAATTAAAGGCATGTGCTCTGTCACATGGAAGGAGAGGTGGCAGCTGAAGCAGGTAACAGAGGTGGACGAAAATCACACACCCACAGTTTAGTGTAAATTTTTCTGAAAATAGCTACTGGGGAAGGTCAGATGAAGACAGTATCCACTGGTAGGTGGGCTATAATCGTAATTTAAAGACACCCTTCAATAAAGGTTCATGTCCCCTTGGGACATTGCTATCGAAAATGACAATTACAGACTTTTCACATGAAAGGGAGCGAGCCATTAAGTTGCACTTTCCCACCAGCCTCCCCTCATTCTCTGCTCGCCACCGCTGCCCCACTGGGCAGGCTTCTCTGCAACGGTCTGGGTTCCGGCTCTCCAGGCCAGTAGATATCTGCCATCTGCCCCAACGTTTACAGCAACAGATAAAAACTACACAGAAGGCATCTGTTCTCTCAGGCCATTACTAGCCGGATATTGGCTAATATCCAGCTAACCCTTACTCACTACTTCAGAGACAATAACAGAAGGAATCAGTAAATATGAGTGTTACACCTTCAGATAATTCTCTCCCCGGTCCAATATTTAGTGTCCTCTAGGTACACTGTCATCATAAAATTTGATTAAAGTGTTTGTATTTCAGATATCTGTATAATAGCTTTTGGAGTGGTAGAGATGGAAAAGGAACTTAACGCCTAACTCGTGGCATTTAATGTCACTTCAGTCCATGAGATGTAAGAATAAATCTGTTGCTGACTTCTTTTGGGTAGGGCCCAGAATTCCGACACAATATGTAGACAAGCCATGTTAAGCCCACATGGGCCACGTGCTAGGAACAGTGGTGCAGAAAGGCAGGAAAGTTCTGCGTCCCTAATGGTGCTGCGACCCAGTGCACTGTCCTAAGATGGTCTACTCTGGACTTTCTGCTACAGAAGGCACCTCCAATTTGCTCCTGTCACTGTAACTGGCTTCCCTGTGATGTGCTGCGGAACACAGCACTAACTGGCACCCTTTATGATGACTTCATCTCTCAAGGAAGAGGCAGCCACGAAGGAGGACATATCTGGTGTGTGTCCAACGGTGGCCACAATGTTGGCAGGTTGGCAGAGTAAGGGGCCCAACAGGCCTCCAAACAGTTAAAATCCTGCTATTCTGCACTTAATTCTGAAGAATAAGTGCAAATAACTTCATGAGAAATGTGTTCTCTGAGGACTGGTCAACTAATTCTAAAAGTTTATTGGAGAAACAATTAAAGGGAGATACAACCTCATTAATGTTAATGACCAATATACAGAAAGACTACTAGATCAAGGGTGGCAAATGGGTCACTGCACTCCACTCCTGGGCCTACCGCCAACACCACTGTCCATTTCGCTCACTGCTATGTCCTTAGTACCTGGAGTATCTGGCAACAAACATTTATAAAAGGACGGAATCACTGGATCACAGGAGGCACGGAAGAATAAGTGAAGGGACAGATGAATGAGATGAATGTACGATCACAGCGCTCTCTCCGGCCAAGCTCACATTGGGCCTCAGGACTCCTCACCCACAGGCGGGACTCCAGGTGTCTCCCACTAGCCACCCTGACACTGACACTGGTCAGAAAGCCAAATATATTTGCCAGCTTAGGTCAAGATGAGCTTACATAACTTTAGTGTATAAAAAAAAGAAAAGAAAAGAAAAGAAAAGAAAAAGGAAAGGAAAACACCAACTAGGATCTCTGGAAAGTACTCTGAGAAAAACATTTTGACTCACTATAAGGAAAAGCATAAAAACTGCTAAAATTTTAATGCAGTCTTGATCCTCAGAGTCCAGAGCTTAGATTTTTTTTAAATTCCGAGCAAATAAGATAGCATAAAACCATTATTTCCAAACATTCGAATGCCAATAAAATTAAAAAATAATTTGGGACAAACATGATTGTTATAATAAAATGATATATAGAAAATTAATTTGAAATGTTGTCTAACCACAAGTTTAAGACTAATTTATAAGAGTGCTGACACTGGGAATTATAAACCCACTTTTGAAACAAAAATAAGTTCACACTTCAAATAAACTTAGAATTTTGTGGCTAAGCCATACAAAGTCACTAAGGTTTTAGGTTTTGGTCTGTTGTCTAGTGTTTTTAATAGACAAGGGAGGTCTCACTGAAGATGTGCCAGCTTAGAGAATCAAATTTAAAAACCATCCTGTAATTTCAAAGTATATGTACGCGTATACTCAAGTTACGTGTTCTCCCACAGGACTGTTAAAGGTAAGACACACACACATACACTTATGTTTCCGATGTGTAAGGTGCATTAGCAAAGCGACTCACCACACAGCTCTCGCTGTAGTCAGTCCTGTGAGGCAGAATGAAGGCTAAGGCATCTAAACTGTCACACTGCGCTGGGGTCTGGGATGTGTTTTTACAGCTGGTTAGCACAATGAAGAAGTGGGTCGGGATCAGAAGTTCTTGATTGCGGATGAGCCTGCTGTTTCTGCAAAATTTGACAATATTCACTTTAAGAAAGAAATAACTATCTTCCTTTAAATGAATTTTCAGTAAAACATTTTTTAAAATGCTGCATCTAAAAATAAAATCCAGTCAAATAATTAAGTGTATTATAAAAACTCAGTCATTATAACAACTCAATTTATTCTGCCAGGTTGAGAAAATAAGGATTAAAAGACAGACAAACTCAACCTAAATAACTTATATTAGAAATGTACTGAACTTGGAATTTTTAAAACTCTACCTGAACACACTGGAACTGAGACACACTATTTTTGAACACCTATGGATAAATAACTTAAATCCTATGCAGTACGGACCAACAGTGGACAGAGAGAGAGAACTGGCTTGAATTTTTCTATTCCAGCTACTTCAGAAGCCACCTGCTATGAAGCAGGTTTAACCAGATTTTCTTTCCTATACGAATAACTTCGTTTTTTAATTAAAGCATATTCTCAAAGATATCCCAATAACACCTTTGCCTCATCTTAATTCTATTTATTTCATCTCAAAGCCATTTTTTTTATTTCCCAGCATCTTTCAAAAAGTAAAGTAGTGGGATCCTTGTTTTCAAATACAATCTTATGTAGAACCAAAATATGTAAAACCGATTAAAACAGCGCTGGTAGAAGCAGTGAATGGGAAGGGTACAAAGTTGTTTTCTTTACCCATTTTACTACTATGATTTACGAGGCAGTTATAGGGGACCCTTATACCTCAAGGGATATTAGTAAAAATTTTTAATTTTATAAACTAATATGATTAGAGACATATGTGTGTAAATAGTAATCCCTAAGTCAGTCTGTGAGAGGCGTTCTCAGAAAAGGCTTAAATCTCAGCAGAGATTTCAGTCCCTTTTTCTCATAGCCTTACTAGAAAAACTGCTCCCCAAATCTACCAAGTATCATTTTAATAAAGATTAACTTGTTTCCAAAATGTTCTCACCTCCCCTTTATAAAAACAGGTTTTCTTAAAACGGTCACTGGATTATTATCTTCTACACAGAGTTGGTGAAAAGCTGGGACATTAGCCCAAGGCCTACAGCTCTATAACCCTGTTGATTCCTTGACTCAAGATGCTCCTAGCTACACCATGTGGTTCTTCATCTTCTAATCAGTAGTATGTTAATTAAGATAGAACCTTAGCCCCACACATAGAGATTTTAAACACTGATGTTACCTTCTTAACAATGACAGTGTTCAGTATTTAATCTGAGCTCGAGTTACTCATCTGAGCTAAGTGGTGGAGGAACACTACTTCTTTCATCTAAAAATATCTTACCACACACTGAGCAAAACATTAAAATTAATCAGATACTTCAAGGGGCTTCCAGGCTAATCAGAAATGTCACACACATAAATCTGAAGAGTATGGGATAGAAAAGGCTCTGCTGACACATCTGAATGGTGATCCCACTTGAGAGCTGTTGTTAAGAGTAAATGAAGTATGTTCTTACTGCTTCAGAGTCTCCGAGGCATCATAATGTCCATCATAGTCAGAGTCAAACACGGGACCGCTGACAACATTGATGCCGTTTCTTTCCTTGGCATACCTCGGCAGTAGGGTGGCATGAAAGTAGCTCCATATCGCTGAAACAAGAAGGAAGATGGTGCAGTTTCAAAACAAAAAGAAGCCATGCTGTCACGTGAAATAAACCCACACCACGATTCGAAATGAAGTATTTGGCAAATGTTGAATTCAACTCTATTTCAGTCATTCCCAGAACCTGTGCATCATCATGAACTTTGGTCACATATTATTGTTAATTTTTTTTTAAATCATGAACAGAAACAAGTCAGGTTATACACATATATTGTTTATGTCTGAATATTCCTTTTGAAATAGTCGCAAGGATTCTAGATGTAAGTTAGAATAAAAATTTCCTTGCATGCTCTGTATCTTAGAATTCCCTATGTCATTGAAGTATAAAGAGTACATTTATTCTTGTAAGAGCCAAATACTGCAATAATTAATAATAATAAATAATCTATTCATTGAAAGATTAAAAACATTATCAGGAACTTCCAAAGAGCTGAAGAGGGAAACAGACTGAATGTTAATGGTAGTAGACTATGTTAGCTTGGTGACTTAAACACAACATTACATACTTATTTCACCCAAAATGTTTATAAACATTTAAGGAGAAGGCAGAATAACAGGTATTGGTATATACCATCATTTTAATACTTGTGGAATTTTTTGTGTACTGGAATTTCTAAAGTCAAACAAAACAGTAAGAATGTATTTGATATTTAGCCATTTCATTTAGAACAGGTCTTATTACATATAAATTATAGCTATAAAATATACATATATATATATATAGAAATTCATTAAAATTATGAGATATAGGGTTAAATTTTTTTACCTTGAAAACTCAGGTACATTGGCACTATATTAGTTGTAAGTAATGCTTCAGAATACATTTTACTTGAGCCTTTAGTTAGTTCTACAAAGAAATAAAAAGGACAACTATTTCATTCTTCACAAATAACATTAGAAATTATACTTTCTCCCATCCAAGTACTAACCAGGCCCAACCCTGGTTAGCTTCCAAGATCAGGCTAGATCAGGCATGTTCAGGGTGGTATGGCCATAGATAGGAATAATACATTCTCATGCCGTGTGTTTTAAAAAATAAGCTGAGTATTACCCTAAAACTGTAAAACTTTCCCAGTTACTGGTTCAAGAGAGAAATGCAATGTGTTTGTTCAAGTCCTTTAACAAAGTAAAAATATTTAGATATTTTTTCTTCAAAATGAATTTACCAAAAGCCAAAAACTGTAATAAGAAAGGCCCCAAATTAAACCTTTTCAAATTTTACCTTATTTGTCTTATTTCAACTAAAGCATATTATGTTGACAAACTTCTGTCCTTAAGCTCTTTCCCAGTGAAAAGAAAAAAACAGTATCTGGCTTCAGAGCAACACCTCCTACCCAGAAAAAACATCACAGGATGTCTGCCTGGAAATGCTGTACAAGGCTTCTTTGTACGGGTTTTCAGCTTGGACCTGGTCTATTTTTATAATGCAATAGCCAGGTTCTGACTTCAGACACTTTTTCCAGGGACTGGACTGGGTATTGAGGGTATTTGAGCACTGGGAACCTTCTGATTTTTGCCTTTTTAGGGCAACCTCAAAAAGTGTTCTCATTAGCATACAAACTTGCCACTTAAAAAAAAAGAACCTTTAACTTAGAAGCCATTCCCTACTGGCCATGAATTGGTGAGAGCAAGCATATTAGGCTCTACCTTTGCTTAGCTCTTTGACAAATTACATTTTTGTTTTAAATAACAAAATAGTATCTCCTTCTGAAGAACCCAGATGCACTTTTCTGACCTCTCTGGTGGTTTTCTTAAATTCTGGTTAAAAGAGATGCAGAAAAGTGAAGCGTGTCCTGTCTACAGCATCTGCACTGAATCAACTACCCTTCAAACAAAAGGGAAAGTTTTCTAAATCTCGAGTTTTAGACCTCACATTTAAGTTTCCCCTAATAGTGACTTATTTAAGAAAAAGAAGAAAATCGAAGAATGAATATTAAAATGACAATAAACTCACAGCTATCAACAACTGAATCTAAAAAATGAAAACAAAAACCAAAAACAAACTAAGCAAACAACCAGGCAATCAAACAATCATAGGTATGGGGATCACGTGGAGGGTTATCAGCAGGGAGGGGGAGGGGGAAGTGGGGGGAAAGGTGTGGGGATCAAGAAGCATAATTGGTAGGAACCAAATAGACAGGGGAGGTTAAGAATAGTATAGGAGAGAAGACGAAGAACTTATACACATGACCCATGGACATGAACTAAGGGAATGGCGGGGATTGCTGGAGGGTAGTGGGGGGTACCAGGCAGTAGGGGGCAAAAGGGAAAAAACTGGGACAACTGTAACAGCATAATCAATAAAAGATACTTAAAAAAATAAATTAAAAAAACTAAAAAACAATAAAATTTCCCCTAAGAGTGTATTTCTCACTCATAATTTTCATCACTAAGATGATGGACATTGCCCCACAAGAAAGAAAAGGAAGAAAAAGAGAACAAGGGAAAGGAAATAAGGGAAGGGGAAGATCAGGGTGGAAGAAAACTTACGTGGTGGGGAGAGGAACCCATAACTTATTTTCGCATTATTTTTATAAAACGAACACTTATGGACAGGACTAAGGGAAATTCGTGGATCCTCATAAAGACAGTTGAAAAAGTCTTCTCTGAAGAAATTATCCTGAAAAACAAAATGAAAAGCTCCATCAGGTACAGGCATGCAGAAGAAAAGGAGACCAGTCTGTACATGGCTAAAGGAGAACTACATCTTAACATGAAGGAGCTCTGGCGGTCTGCTCACGTCCTTCGTCATTTTTCCATTTTCTACTACTGTATTCATCTTTTTTGTCTCTGAAATGCACAACTCTTTACAATGTTACGGATATTAATCATTTGTCATATGTATGCAAATATTTTCCTACTATACTGTGCTAATTTTGTTTATAATTTTTTTACTTGATTTTGAACTTTTATATAGGGAATTGTTGATTTTTAGACATCTGAGACTTATTCAACTACGCAACCAAATGTTTGGGATGGAGGCGCAGATGTAAAAAAGCTACTGAATAGCAATGTAACGTGAAAACCTTCGGAGTAGCAATGACTCTGAATTTTTGCAGCTTTGGGTACATAGGAAAACTGAAAATTCAAACAATGAAAACACCATATTTGAGGTATTAAACAGCAATAACTCAGATGGGACTTACAAAACTGTGTAGAATGCTACAGAGTATGAACTCAAGTAAAAATTTTGAATATACACAATTTTTTTTAAATTCAAGCCTAAGGTAGAAATTTTATGGAAATATCTGAATGTATATTATATATATGTTTTTTACACAGAGAAATTACACACACACACACACACACACACACACATCCTTACCTTTTTATTTAGCAATCTCAATGATGTTAACATTTTATTTTTAAATCCTACTCATCTAAGCTCTCTCAAATCCCCTTTCTATCTTTTAAGGTCACATGGAGCTTGCCAGGCTGTTTCAGTTTCTGCAAATCTGGTCAGTCTAGTTTAAAAGTTCCATTTCAAGTAAGATCTAAATCTCGTCGAATCCCTTTATTCTCTCTTTCAAGGCCAATCTTGTATCGTTGCCCTTTATACCATAGCACCCAGGAATGAGGAGAAATGGTGGTCTTCTGCTGGGATATTTTTCCTCATTCCTCTCAAGGCCGAAATCCCCTGGTGTGGAGGGTGAACAGAACCCCCAGCCTCTCCCTGGTTAGGTCTGGGGGTCTTCCCATGGACGGACGGCTTATGCAGTGAGACTACATTTAAAGATGAAGAACTGTGACTGACTGTAAAAATTATTTCATGAAATTATATGTTAAAATCTTACAATGCTTACATCAAAGGCAAGGGAGAAGTCTTTCCTACACATCCTTCCTTTCGCAAGACAAGTAGTACGCTCTGAGTCTCGCAGCCACAAGCTTGTGAGTGGCAGAACTGGACCCTATTTTCTCTGACTCCCAGTTCAGTAACCTGATTTGGGATTAGCCATGAGAAACAATGCTCTCGATGACTTTGCCTAATGATAATTTGACAAAGGGGTGACAAATACTTGCATTTCTGTCCACAGTGTAGGAGGTCCAGAGGGGCATGTGGATGTCGGGGCGGTAACCACTCACAAACTGGTGCTGGTAGAGGAGGCAGACAGTGCTGTTCTTCTGGAGAACTCTGGGCCTTCCATAGGGTAAAGTGCTGCGCTTAATAGCCTTCTCTTGGGTCACAGGAGGAAAACAAAACCACCGTTTAAATGTGCTTAGACCCTATTGAAAAATCATTTTTAACTCTAACAAAAAACCAACTACAACGAGCAGAGCCATAAACAATTAAGGAAACAAAAGGGATTCACTGCACCTTTTGCCTGTGCAGATTATGAAACAGCAATGTAATATGAAGATACCACAATATACGTGAAAATGCTAGAAATCCCAGCAATTAGGACTTAAATTACATTACTAAAATTCTTTGACATTATTTCAATTACTTAGTCTTCAGGATGTCTTTCCAGAAAGAAAATTTTCTGGATGATATATGTACTTGGAAAGCAAAAGTACAGAACTGAAATGATGGGATTAAACTGAGTAAATCAATATTATATAGTGTTTATCACCCTTTTCCAAGTGTCAGGTGCTTGGTAGAATTCTTTTGTAGACATCGTCTAGTTTAATTTTTAAATAGCCCTATGAATTAAGGTTATATGTCCATTTTACAGATGAGAAAACAGTAGTTTATGGGAAATAAATAGTTTTTCCATGAACACATAATTCCTAAACTCCTCTTCAAACTTAGATTTACCCAATTCCACAAGTGTCATTCTTTACCACAAGATTTTAACACCTTCGATCATCAGAGATTTCTCCAACCTGAACATTTACAGAATTTCATACAGACAAGTTCATGTAAACAATAGTGCAGAATTCACCGTTTTATTCTGGCAAGAAAAAACTGTGAGACAAGTAATTTACTCTACCGGAGACTCTGTCAAAGTCGATCAGAGACTGTATGGAAGAGTCACTGAACTTCCCAAGTCACAACTGACCAATTTCGTCAGGTGTCTACATGTTGTTATTTCTCTCATCAGCAACAGATTTTCTCTCTGCAAACATTGCTATATTTAAAAGGTTTAATTTTGCACAGAATTCTAGACTTGATATTTCCTGATCACTTCATTCTCCTACATTTTATGCCACAAGTTTTATAAACAGGTATTTTCTCAAAGTCTGTTATTTACTGAGTTGTATGTTACAGTGCATATTCTTAATTTTCATTCAAAAGTTATGAAGAAATAATTTTTGATAAGTAGATCAACTTATACTCTTTTGTAATTAACTAAGAACCCAGTGAGCTAGATATTTAACAGATATCTTAAATGTAAATCAGCCCTGGCTGGTGTGGCTCACTGGATTGAGCGTCGGCCTGCAAACCAAAACATCACAGGTTCAATTCTCAGTCAGGGCACATGTGTGAGTTGTGGGTCAGGCCCCCAATTGGGGGTGTGCCACAGACAACCAGTCAATGTATCTCTCCCTCACTTTCTCCTTCCCTTCCAGTCTGTCTAAAATAAATAAATAAAATCTTTTTTTAAAAAACGGAAATCAGAAGATTTATTACAAACCTTATAAACCTAACAAAAATCTTCAAAATTAAAACAGCCTCCACTAAATACATTGCATGCTATTTCCGCTGTAAATATCCCCTCTTTTCTTATGAACAACAGTATAGACCGCCAAGCAAAGAGATCTCCAGGCTTCATCAGGTGGAGCTCCCCTAATCCCTTTATTTTACTGACTATTCTCAAAAATGCCTCCAAACCAATTCTCTGTGATTCACACTGTTGAGAAAAAGCCTACTTCCACATTCCAAGTTCAAGAACAAACATGCCTTACCTTCTGTCACAGTCAGATTCAATTGTGTCTTAAAATCCATGACTTGAAAAATCTAAACAATTAATAATATTATTTTTAAGGAATCACAGACACGTTTTATTTTTGTAACAAACAACTTTTATAGCTAATTTATTCCATGGTAGACAAAGATAAAATTTGAAACCATTCTGTACCAAGTCAAATTATTGTTTCGATAAGAAAGAATAAAAGGATAGGGATGGCAGTTGCAAAAATACAGAATTTTTAGCATAAACACACCATTAATGAAAAATAAGAATAGGATCGCCTCTTTAAAGTTCTGATCTCTAGTCTTCAGCCTTTCTAAAAGTCTACAGCAAAGCAAAGAGCATAAACTCAACTGCTCCCTCCGCAAGCTTCTATCTTTAGGGTCCCACCAGTTTTGTTCATGACCTGTCACATATTCCCCTCCTTTCACGACAACTGCTGTATATATTAAGGTTGGAGAAAAATGAAACAGTGCCATATATCCATTTTGTACCAAAAAGTGGTATTTCCCCCCTAACTTGAAGCGGGTGGGGTTGTACTTTGGAGAAGGGATATTGTTCCTAGTTTGTTGTAATCAAGACCTCACTGCTGGGACAGTAGGACTCGGCTCAACTTCCCCCGACCTGCAAGTCAGGTTGCAGGACCGAGGGACAAAAAGAGAGGCAAAAATGCATAAAGAAGGTAGAGGAAAAAGAAAAAATGAAAGGCCTGTGTGTGTCACTAGAATTAAAAATAAATAGGATTGTTATTCTCCCTCATAAACTTGAATCTGATCCTCACGTATTCCCACAGTGCATGCTATGCAGCAAGTGCTGTGAAAACACACCCCCCAGGCTCAACTTCTCAGCGACACTTACCGAGGGATCACAGGAGCAGCCGAGGTTCTCTCTGGGAGTCCTTGTGAAGGGGCACTGGACCAGGGGCCCGGCTTCTTTGGGGTGCTTTGGAGTGTAAATGGGATTCTTTAGAAGGTGGTTAAGACTTCCATGAGTTCCATTATTAGGAGCAGGTGTCAAATTCAATAAATCTGCATAATTCCAAAGAATAGTCAAGATTTACTTAAAAGTTTCAAAACCAACTAAATGGTAGACTTGTACTATGATTCTTATTTTTCAAAACCAAATCTATACGAGTCCTTAACTCTTTTAGGTTTTACAGTATTTATAACTGCTATTCTTAATGAAAATACTGACATATATGCTTTACTTCTCCATAAAAATTTCTGGATTTTAATATATATAATAACTATAGTTAGCATATGTTGAATGCTAACTAGATTACTATCACTGTGCTCATATATTTTTCTTACTTAATTCTTCAAACATTTAAATATGTTATTGCCAATATTTGATGGATGAGTAATCACAGCACTTTGCTCAAGGTCTGAAAGCTACTAACATAAAGCTACTAACAAAAGCTACCTAGGATTCAAAACTAGCTTTGTCCACATCGAAGAGTCATGCTTTAAATGATGATAATAATAATAATAACAACAACAATAACAATAATAGCAAACACATATAGTAAAACATTTACTCTAAGCCAGGCCCTGAGTTTAAGTGTTTTAGGATCTATGAACTCATTTATGTATATCAGCTCCCATTAAAAGAATTATCCTTAGGACACATTAAAGGTTTGCAAATGCCCAGTATCATTATCAGAAAAAGGAAGTGATATTCAAGATGTAATACCCTACACCCATAAAGTACTAATTAAGAAGGTACAGAGTAAACCAAGAATGGGTCGCCTTCATTTTTACAAACTTGACATTGCCATCTATTAAGGCTACCAGAAGTTCCACTTGTTTTGTCTACCTTTCCAAATCCCCAAACTCTTTTCTCTGGCTTCCACCACTGATCTGATTCAATGGTCATATGATTAAGCCCTGGAGCCTGTCAAAGTACTAGGCATCGGGGATGTACACACCTCTTCACTCTGGGTGTTGTACTTTACCAGTGTGCAGCCTAGTGGAAGAATCAGATAAGTAATCAGATGGAATGTTCGGCACATTTTTTTCAATGACTCTGGTTCAGGAAGAAAAAAAGTAAAAATGTAAGCGTCTGTCTTGCCTCATCATCATCTCCACAAGGTACCCATCAAGTGACCTATTTTTGATCATCCTATTCAGCTCTGTTTTCAGAAGGGATAAAAGCTCCCTACTCACACTTACCACACATTAAGTTATAGACTTCGATATTTTCAAAGGAATCAACTTTAATGCCGTGCTTGAATCCAGGTCCATAGCCAATAAAGAGGGCCTAGATTGACCAGAAAAGAACAGTTTATAAATTCCTGTTACATATGTAGTTGGCCAAATATAAAGCATAGCATGGGGAATATAATCAATAATATTGTAATAACTATGTATGGTGCCAGGTGCCAATAACTAGACTTATTGGGGAATCACTTCATAAGTTATATAAATGTCTAACTGCCATGCTGTACACCTGAAATTAACTAATATTGAATGTCAACTGTAATTGAAAAAAAAAATAAAAGTTGTAAAAGTTTTATCTTCTACATTCTACATGTATAAAATGGTTATGTTAAGAGAAAAAAGACTATGCCCAGCAAACTTTGTGGAATTTTTTTTTAACCCCTATTGCACAAATAATCTAAGGACATCTGGGATAGTTCTCTTAGCTTTACTGTAATTCCTGACTTGACATTCAGAACAGAATTACAATGAAATCTATATTCATCTATGAACAGGAATATGAACTGCACCATGCTCACCTCACACAGTGTTGCAGGGATCAAATTAGATAATTATTGTGAGTATATTTAATTTTTTTTTAGCCCTGGCTGGTGTGGCTCAGTGGATTAAGCACTGGCCTGAGAACTAAAAGATCACTGGTTCAATTCCCAGTCAGGGCACATGCCTGGGTTATGGGCCAGGTCCCCAGTTGGGGGCATGTGAGAAACAACCATTTGATGTTTATCTCCCTTTCTCCTTCCCTGTCCCTCTCTCCGAAAATAAATAAATAATTTTTTAAAAAAAGTTTTGAAAGCAAGGTAAATTTAAAGTAGTATCTTCATTTAGAACTAAGTATATCTTTTTAAATATTAACAAATTGTCTTGCATTTACTGTGGAGTAATATATATTCTTAATGGAACATAGTATATACAAAATAATTATTGGAAATTTAGTAGGAGGTACATGTCACATATTCATGAAATATGAATATAAATTTTAACACAATTGTATTATTTTAATCAATGCCCAAAAGAAAATGGCTATATGAAAGTATATGTTTCATTACTTGTTATTCAAGACATATAATGGCCTTTTTTCAGTGTAAAAGTTTACATATCAGTATTTCTTCAGATATAGCTGTTATTTTTAAAAACTATAATAGGTTTACTCACTTGCATACTTGAAAATATGTTGTCAGAGCCATGAAATCCACCTCCACAATGTTTCCTTTCTGAAGGATTCCTAATTTTTACATAATATAAATTAATGAAAAGTCCATTCATAAAGCAACACGGGTAATCATGCATTATTTTCATTAATAAAGAACAGGTGACCGTTGTTAAACAAACCAAGAAAAAGGTGAATAAAATTGCCTAGCTTTGAAAACTATGAAGAAGCCACCTTTCTTTTTTATTTTGTAGATGAATCAACTATAAGCAACATGGTATAGAGGGAAGAAAAACGAAAACACTATCATTGAGACAGAACTGGTTTTGAACCCTGATTATGATGGTGATTAGCTTTGGTGTTAGAAATTTAATTCTCTTTTCCTGGTTTCAATTTTTTCGTGTTGGGTTGTTTGCAAAATTTAAATGGTTGAACCTCAACAAATGCTTGAAACATAGTAGATGTTCACTAAATATTAGTTTTCCCATGCAAGTAAGAACAATCCTCTCGATATTTCCCAGCACCAAAAACACAGCTCTCTAATAAAGTAGAGGCAGTGCGAATCTGTTGACTAAATTCTGGTTCACTGCTTAGGGGTGTTATAACCATAGAAAGGGTACTTTTTCATCTAGTGAGTGGAAGCCAGGAATGCTGTCAAACATCCCACAACACACAAGACAGCCCCCCACAATGGAGAATTATCTAACACAAAACCTGGAGAGGCCAAGGTTGAGAAGACCCAGGACAGAGTATAGGGAATCATATTTGTGCAATTTTCATATAACACCATTGTTGCAAAGGACTCAAAGGTTACCTTGAAATTACTAATAGGTCAGGCTACATTTACCTGGGAGGCTGTCAGAACTTACAGTGCAAGTTGCCATTGAGGGTCCAAATAGAATGTCAAGGGCTCAATCCTATCACTTTTAGCGAAGTGCAATCGTTTGGGTAAGAACTGTTTTAGGTAAGGTTTGAAGTGCTGGTTTGGCTCCCGGCACTGAAATTGTAGGAGGCAAAGGAAAAACATTACTTGCATGGTCTTAAGTACAAACTTCTTCTGAAAGTACATTGTAACTCCATACACATTTCTTTTCTCACAAATACTTTACCAGCATACCCAATAAATCACACATGGAAAATCACCTGAGATCTTAGTACTACCATAATACACAGGGTGGATACTCCCAGCCATTGAATATTCTTATTTTTACATGAAGTCGTAATCACTGCATAGCTATCCCAAGATGCTTAGAGTGTGTTGAGATTATATTTGAGATACTACTGATGATGTTATTTTCAAACACTTGTGCAACTACGATTGTAAAAATTTTCTCCAAAAGTGAAAATTCTCTATCAAGTAAAAAAAAAAATAGTACAGATAGCTCAGCACTAGGACAAAAGCTTATTTAAAAACAGGCATTAAAAAAGACTGGTAAAAAAAGATACTGTGGTGTTGACAGTGTTTAGGGTGGAATAGTTATAGGGTGTTTTCCTTCTGCTTTCAATAATTTCTTGTACTGCCACATACATTTAACAGCGTCAATCAACAAATTCTTAAAAGCTTTCAAACCCAGATCATTGGGGCATGTCCTTAAAGTTCTTTAAAAACTATAGAATATTTAAATGTTGGCCCAGATACCCAAAAATTCTAATCCTATAATGCCAAGAACAAACACTGAAACTTTCCTAAATATACAAGTATATTATACAAAACAGGCAGTAATTAGATAATAGAAAAACAAAGATACTCACAGAAAGATTTCTGGCAATGCCTTCATAATTAACTGAAGGGGATAAAGATAAAAAATAATAGTTGATGGTATGCTAGAATTAGATATAAAAATAAGACAAAAATATAAACTGTCAGACTCAAACCATATATTTAAATACCAAAGCAGGTTTCAAACAGCTCATTTAAATCTTTATATATTAGCCTCTGACAAGAATAAGACAGATGTTTAGGAACCCTCACCCAAAGTCTGTGAAATAATGCCCTATTGTTAAATGAAAAGGCAAGTTACAGAGCATCCACCTATCCATCTGTCTGTCCATCCATTTGTCTCCATCTGACCATATATCCAACTCCCTGTATATCCATTTATCCATCCTTTCATTCGTCCATCCATCTGCTCATGCACCCAGATCCTCATACATCCATGTATCTAGACCTAGTACAATTTCACTGTGTAAAAATAAAAATGAATGTGTTTTCTTTACACATAGAAAAGATCTGAGGAGACATATCTTAAACTTAACAGTGCTCATCTCTAAAGAGAGAAACTGAGCTGTGAATTAGGGGAGTTTAGGGTGGGAACCAGCTACTTTGTACTTTATATACTTTCACACTCACTGATAATTCCAGCATTTCAAAATAAGAGGGCTACAGGGGAACTGAGAAGAAAGGACAAGGAGGGTGGTTTTGGAGCTGCATTTGCACAGCAAGCCCACAGCTACCTTCTTAGTGCACCTTGTGTCAGGCTTCACAGACGCTGGAGAAAATTATCCGGATAAAAGAATATGTACTGTATACATATTTTTGATGTATATATGTAGATAAGTAAATACAAATATAGATTTTGCTTTAATCTGGGAAACCTGGGGGCCTAACTGAGCTAAGGGTATGGCGGAGCCCAGCCATCCCCTCCTAAGTATTTCTGGGCCCTGCCATTGCCTCTATAGTTGTTATAAGAGGTTTAGTAAGTATTGTGTATGAACTTTCATGTATTTAAAAAAATACCATATTTTGCCTTGTATAATGCACACTTTTTTGCCCAAAATTTTTAAGGGAAAATAAGGATGAGCTTTACACATGGGTAGTACTAATTCCATATCTATATAAATGATTTTAATTCTTTTATTTATGCTTATGCGTTAAAAGTGTAACTCTAGAAAGAAATAACAATATCTGTGTGCAAAATACAATAATACAAAAAACAAGTATCTAAATATAAATAAATAAATAACTGAATTAAAAAATTAAAACAATATATTCTTTTCCAGAAAGTTTGGGCCAAAAATGTGGGTATGTATTATACACAGGAGTGTATTATACACAGAAAAATATGGTACTAATTAAAAGTTGTCATGCAGATAAAGTTTATGCTTTGGGTTACTATGTTAATACATTTGCATAACCATTTTCCTGCAGCAAAATCTATTTTTTTCTTCAAGAATATTCAACAGTATCTTCTATTCAACAGAAACACATAGCACTGTGGTGCCCAAACCTAACCCGATTTTGGTAACTGTCAGAAAAGCTTTGTCTCCTTTTATTTTAAAAGTTAATTTGTAACAAAAAGATAAACAAAATTCCCGAAGGATCTGGAAGTTACCAAGAATGATAATAAAAAAGAGGGGTGTATATATACATTCTTAAAGATTATCTTCTAATTTTAGAGAAATTGATAACCTTACTATTGTGAAGTTTCCTATCTATGATAGTAAGATTTGATGACTTGCACAAACAAACAAAAAAGAGGGGCACAACAGAGGTGCAAACAATTATGAAACAGGCTTGACTTGCAAATAAAGAAGTTAAAATATTTCTTGGCTGTCCTGGTGGTTAAGAGAGAATATAAAATTACTTCTTCTCTGTTTACAAAATACATTCTTATTGCTTTTTGAAATGGTTTAAGAAACCCATTTTTGAGGACAGAAATCAGTTGCTTATAGAATTAATCATCTCTGCCAGCACTCCTCCTCCTAATAAAATATTATTCTATAACCTTGGTAAGTTATTTTAACAGAATATTATTAACTAAAGTTGAATAAATGTAGCTGAACTTTTAAGGTTTTTTTTTGAACACGTAAAACCGAATATAAGAAAAACACACAATACAACAAAAAGTTGTACTAGCTCATTGAATGATATTCTTAGCCATGAATATCACATAGATACAGGGTTAGACATGTCCTCACATCCAGTCCCTTTGGGTGCAGAAGATCTGCACTGGAGATATTTAACCATGAAAAGGAAATGAACTTTAATTGCTTCCCTTTAGTTTAGCTATACAATGTTTTAGAGGAATATATTCTAAATAGAATCATATGCAAAGTTAGCACAGAGCTATACTTACATGAGTAGTATTTATCTGGGACATCAGTGGGTCTCAGTCGAGCTGCAGGTCCATATATAACTTTTATGTTTTTAACATCCCCCAGGTATTTATTCAGGTATATGTATTTCTTACAGCTGCCTTGTTCCATGCCTAGGTTAAAAAAAAAATCCCAAACATGATGCGACTTTAATAAAAAATTTAACATGTAGAACAAAATTTCTTTCATTTCCAGAATTTAATTCAATAAACATGCTCAGTGCTTATGCTAGTTAAATATCTAACAGGTAAGACACAGAATTTCAGCTGTACCTACCATTTCACTTTAAAAAAAATTTTCTTTTCCTCTTATCCCAAATTAGTTTACTGTTTCTTCTTATTTATGTATTATAATATCTTTATGCAAGTGAGGAAGAATATCACATTTCTAGGCTAAATATGAAAGCCTAGTGATTTTCCCAAAATCATCTAGGATATTAACTGGGAGTATAAAATTCTTATTCTCATTCCAGGACTAGAGTTTCTGTAGGATATGACTTTTAGAACTGTTTCTAGAAATAATTTTCAGTAATTACTTCTGAAGCTATGAACAATAACAAGAAAAAAAACAAACAATAAAAGGAACTTGTTTTCTATTTTCTTGTATACACACCACATCTATAGTCCCAAGGCTATAAAGAAGCATGTGTTATAAAGACCACAGCAAAAGTGAAATTAAAATATTGCCAAAATTAATATATACTACCTAAGTCAGACTTACGCTAAAAAAAATACAGAAAAGGTACATAATATTTTGTTCAAATTGAATCTAAAATTGTTAGAGATTTACCAAAATTTAATAATGAAAAAAAGTTTCCGACTATTCAAATTCCTGGTGTAAGCCTTCCCCAAATCAAGAGATGGATGCATTTTGATTGACAGGTTCTTAGATTTCTATGAATTGTTTCATTTGTACTTTATATTTAATATATTTTCCTAATGACTTTCCACAAGAAACTATGTTTTTTAAAAAAATCAACTATAACAATCAGAGGAAATAAAGAAGCAATAATTAATTGATCAAGTAAATTTGGGTAGGGTAGGGCACCATTTAACTTGACAGGTAAAAGATGCAAATTCAGATTACCATGATCTGAAATGAGGATGAGGTTCAGACATTGATGCAAATTCAGCTCTTTTAAACCATCCATCAGCATGCCAACCATGTTGTCAACCCTCTGCAATGCTCTGATGACCTAAGAAAGAGAACCCACCTTATGTGATGTATTCCACAGAAATGGCTATTCCTATATAAAGCTATCTCTGTGGAAGGAAGGAAGGAAGAGAGGAAGAGAAAGAAAGAAAGAAAGAGAGAGAAGGAAGGAAGGGAGGGAGGGAGGGAGGGAGGGAGGGAAGGAGGGAAAGAGGGAGGGAGAAGGGGGAAGGAAAGAGAAGAAAAAGAAGAGAAGGGAAGTAAAGGGGAAAGGAGGGGAGGGGAGAGGAGGGGTGGGGAGGGGAGGGGAGGGGAGCGGAGTTCAGTGGATGCAAATACTATGATGAACTGATTCACATTAGCCTAAGACACTCAGGTAGCACAGAAAAGGCATGAAATAACTGCTGACCATTAACAAACAGTGGAAGGATCCAAATTGCACATGTGCTTAATCATAAGTCTTGGAGATGGCATTACCTGAACTGATTAGCTCTCCCTCTGAGTTCAGAACGTTACTCCTTAGACCAGACTCAATGTAGGTCAAAGTGATACTAACCCAAATTCATAGTTTTGGCCAAAAACAAATGTATCTTAATTATTACTTGATTTTCTGCAATCAATTTCTCATTTTTCTTTCTAATTATTTAAATATTTACTGCAAAAATGCAAGGTTTCCTCATTTTCAAAAATGTTAAAATTATTCATGAAATGCTTCTATGTACTTCCCTTTTAAAATAAGAACTCCAAGGAACACAACCCGTTATTTCCTTAAAAACTACATGTATTTTGCATATGAATATCACAAGAACAGGCAAATGTTTTTGGCAAACTGCTCTCAGCATTTCTCTTTTCCTCTTTTTTTACAAAACCAGCTGAGGAGAACTTTTATGCAGTGTTGTGTGTATGTTCTATAATGTTTGAAATCAGTCTAATCATTATTTATAGTTGGTGTATTTTACTGTTTTTTGGAACAAGCTCTTTCAATACACTATTTCATTCACTCAAAGTTACCTAAGCAATGTGAATTGGAATTTCCAAGTATTAAGATAAAATGTGTTTTGATGTGGTAATAATAGTTGAGTTAAAGAGAGTTTACAAGTTGATAAAGATAATTCAAAAACAGTGGGCTCAACCTTGAATAAAGATGAATTAGAAAAGCAGGGAACTTGCAAAATCTTCAGTGAATGGGAAAAGGCAGCACTGATTTAAAAACTTGTATGATCTGCAATTACAAAATAATCCTTCGACTTCCTCATAGCCAAACTAACCTAGGCGCGGGTCTCAGGTGTCTAGTGAAAATTACACTAGCATCTGGCCAAGTGTTCAAACCAGAACAACAGCTACAAGAAACTGTTCCTTTTGACCAACCACGATATGGCCACTTTGTTGCCCACACATCTTCCTTATCCCTCCTTGAAGGAACATTTCTGCTTAGTTCAAGAACAGGATCGCAGCAAGAGCACATGGGGTTGCTAACTACACAGGAGCTACTATAGATGAATTTCGCTGGAAAGAATACAAAGGGTAAGCACGACCTAATGAGGGTCACCTTCCCTCTCTCCTAGCTTTCTTTTGTCTGATGAGAAGGCACCCAACAGGAAGCTGGTCTCTAACAGGGCAAATCCAGGGGATTTCCCAGAGGAAGGGAAACCAGGGGAAGATGGTTAGGCAGTTGCTTTACATTCAAGTGAGAAAGATGAGCATGCTTTTCTCTCTTCCTTCTGCTGTTGCTGAAGGAAGCATTTAGAACACACAACACCCTCAAACTCAGGGCCCGCAATAGACAAGACAGGCCCGGCCTTAAGAACCCTATGCTAAAGAGTCCTTGGGGCATAAAAATTCTCCAGTCTGGGATACCTGGGCAGAACTGATGAGAATTTGGTAGTGAAACTCTAGTTATTAAGAAAGTGTGTGTTTATTTCTTAGAGTCACGGAGGGGAAAGATAATTAGACAAACATTCTGAGATTAGGGATCCTGGGAATATATTTCTCTTTCAACATGACCAGCAATATTTACAAGTCCTTACTTATTGTTTCTTTTCATACTGTAAGTCACAGATAAAATGTAAATCATAAGAAAAGTCGGCTTAGAGGCATAAGGAAAGGAGTTTGTATTATTTGCTGTTCAAATGTTTCCTGTGGGGAAACATGGTACAGCAATGGTACAAAGTGACATGGCCACTCGGAAGCAGCATTTGAGGTTTTAGAGCACTGTAATGCTTACGAACACAGCCAGGACTGGGCCCAGTTTCTGAAAGGGTGGCAGGTCAAATAGGCCATTACACGGTGAGTCTTAGACCACGAGCAGTTTCCCTACCCCTCATTTCCTAGTAACCACTCAGTAAAACAATGATTATTTGAAGTTCTCTGTACTTTTGATAAAATCACTGATCCTTTGATGCCTGAGCTCAGTTGTAAGCATGGGCTCAGATGGTCAGAGATCCATTTCCTAAGGTGGAGAGTTCATAGGGGGCTTCTTCTGCTACTTGACATACCATCCTCCATCTTCCTAGAAAACTGGAGTCTTATCCAATTACAAAATTTTCAAAGAACAGTTAGTGTTTAGGGCAATGCAGGGGGATATGGGGTGGATAAAGGTTTTGGAACTGAAAATATTGGATTTAAGTCATCATCAGTTCAATTCAGCACTGTAAAAATTTAACAAAACTAATTCTCCCAGCTCTTACTTTGATTAAAGTGCATTCTTTGGTTTAGTAAAATTGTACGTAATACTCACTCTTTCCAGAAAACATAAAATCTTACAGAACTATCTAGAAATCTGCTTCAAATCAAGGTTCAGTAGTAGCTGTTACCAGGTTTAATGAGGTACCCACTGATAAAATGTACTTACTTCGCTGCTGACTGGTCCATAGGCATGACCTGAAGAATCTGGTTCTTCTAAATACAGAGTGTAAAAGTGTGGTCTAAATCAAACAGTATCAAAATGTAATATTTTATGAACACATTATAAAACAGAATGGAAAGAATAATTCAACAAACCATAGTGAACAAGAATTATACAACACTGGGGTAACATTTTTAAACTTGCTGAGGAAATAACTTACAGGTTTCAAATTCTTCAAAATGTGACTGTAATAGCTCACTAAAGAGTTTGTTTGGACATAAAACCTCAGAGCCAATACCAAAGTTTTCTTGTAGGCTATTTTAAAATATTGTGTAACTTCTACAAAACAAAGGAGAATTCACAATACATACCTTTCATCCTTGGGAAGCTGCAGCCATTTAAGAACAGCTAAAATTCTTTCTTCAAATGGTATTGAACTAAAGTTAAGAATAAACAAAATGAAACAAATCTGTGACAGTTGTTTAGGTTTAAAATATAACATTTTTCCTTTAAAAATTACATTAAGAAACACTAAAATAATCTAATGCACCCATTGTGTGTCTGAAGCCACATAAGAGTTTTACTTGGAAACTTAAATTTGTTTTCCCAACAAAGGAACAAAAGTTAGGTTTTACACATGTGAAAGTTGTCCTTGGGCTTCAAAGTTTGCTTCCTGTACTCCACCTGAGCATGTTTTTCCTGTACCTGAGAAGGGCAATTGCTACCATGAGAAAAACCCATGTGTCAACACACTCTTCAAAGGGCACCTCATGGAGAACCCACTTATTGCAGACTCAGTAAAAGTGGGAAGTGGGCAACATTTCCTCAGCCGAATTCATTACACCTTCCTCTGGGCACAGAATTTTGTTTACAAAACTCCACCAGAGTGTGTGTTTGCCCAACCCCAAGTACAATTAGTTGTGTTCTCTGTTAGACTGTGAGAAGCCAGAGAATATGTATCCCTAATCTTCGGATCTTCCATCATGCCTACTGTAAAGCATGGCAATTAAATCTCAATTATGATCCATGGAATGGAAATAAAGGTAATTAACAGGGTGGGGAGAGGCACTGCACTGTGCTCAAGTGAACCGTAAAGAATTAGCAGTAGCATAAGATCACCAAAAAAATCACTATGCATTTCTTGTCTAGAATTTATTCTCTGTTGTATATTGATTTTATGACAGAAATTTCCTAAGTGTAAAATAAATAAAATTATTTTTGTAGTCTCACTAAAATTACCCAAAGGGAGTCTTCCCCCCAAAAGAGTTTATTCTGTTTTTTTCTCAGTACATCATGGATTTTGAATATCACAGGGAGGTTATTCTAATCAGTTTCTCACATTAGATGGCATATTTATTGAAGTAATTTGGAAATGCAAATCCAGAGATGCTATCAATATCTTCTTTTAGATAATATTTCCAGACACCACAGTCATTCCTGCCTGTGTCCTCTTTAATACTTTCATCTCCCGCTCCTAGTTCTTCTTTCCCCTGGAGTTAAAACAGGCTGTGCCTCCACTCTGATACCGCTCCTGTCATCCTGACTTCAGTTTCCATTCCTGCCCAAAGATCTGGCTGCAAGCCCAACGGGATACCAATGCTTTCTAGAAAAGCTCTAGGAAAATAACTTGTTTTACTATGACACCATTCACCTAAAACTCTTTGAAATAGAGTCCTTATTTTGATAGTTCTCACCTTCCAGTCAACATATATTCAATATAGTTTGGACTGGAAAAAAAAGAGGTGCTGAGATGAAAATAATCTGTTCTATGGGTGCTGGAAAAAGTATATCTACACATACCCATTATATGTTTTATAGAAGTCTGGGAGAATTCCTTTTATCTCCACATCTGAGCCTGGCCAAAAATATGTGCCAGTCTTCAAGCCTTGATATCTAGCTGTGAGCCAAATCTGAAAAAGATAACAAAGGAAAGTTAGAAAACTATGCAAATGTTCATCTTTTAGGAAAGTATATGTTCATGCAACACCAATGCATTCTTCTCAAGTGCTAGGAAGTTTTTAAGGTTAATAAGATCTAGCAGCAATATTAAATAATAATCATATAGTATGACTGAACAGCAGCAAAAATAAAGAAAATGATTAGAGATTATTTTAACCTAAAAAATATGGACATAAGTCAGTTGGCAACTACTGCATTTTTTAGAGCTATCCACCTACTTAATAGGTTCTCCATGAAAAAAGAAAAATTCACAAACATACATGTCCAATTTATTGCTATTTGAACTTAAATGACTAACATTAAGCATTTTTATTGAAATTACAACTCTAAATAGTAGTCCTATAAGCATCCTACAGTATTAATTTAAGTAATCCTCAAATAAGCCTATGAGGTGCTAACAGTATTACCCACAGCAGAGATATGACAAAACTAAGGCACAGAAAAAGTTTACACAAAGTCACAGAGATTTAAATATCAGAGCTAAAATTTTAATTTATAACCTATAAATTAAACATCATGCTCTTTTTTCTTCTAAAAGGATTAAGACTATCCAAACAGATCCTATAGAATTATGGTTAGAATTTTAAAAATAAAAAGGATACATCTAAATCACCAGATCTTCTAAATTAGCATATGCAAAAGAAGTCAAAGTTTGCCTCCTTCAGAAATAATTAATTACCTTTGTGTAGATGAAAATAGTACCTTCCATTCACCTACTGCCATACGCTACTAGTGCAAGAAGGTAGAATCCAGCAAAGAAAAATGGTTCAAAATAACCCAAGGCCAGTTCTGAAATAAACGACTACTCCTGTTATTCAATGACACAAACTGACTTTAGGATTATCAGCATTCATCTCCATTTACAAAAGGATGGCCATAAACATAGCAAATGAAGTAGGTTAGTAAGAGTGCCAGGGAATCTGGTGTTTTACTGTGATAGAAATAGATGAGAATAATGAAAGAAACTCTTTTAGTAGCTAAAACAGACAACTTACTGGTTCTCCTTTGTACCACTCAGGATTAAATTTCTCTGTACTTTTAAGTGCAAAGGAAGCATTCATTTTTGGATCGTACATTTTATTGTCAACTATGCCATGGGATTCTGGATAAAGACCCTAAAAATATAAAATACAGGTTTTATGCAAGTTTTAAGTGTTTTAATGTTAAAATCACAACAATTTCATCAAAGAGAAACAGGTTACTGAAGCTACAAGAAACTTAACACAGTTTAGGGAGGGAAAAACAAAACAATGGGTATTGTCAAGAAACACAATGAACCACTCAAAATTTTATGTAGTATTTGTATTTTAAATTATGTAGGAGATAATAAGATAGATTGCTATCTTATTATCTGCTGTGGATGAAGGTCTATGTAAGGAGGCAGCCTCCCAAATTTCAAGAAAAGGACTCTTTTTACATTGCTGAGGGAAGCATTTCTGTAGAACAAACTTTTTTTGGTTGGGTCTAAGAATGGCTTTTCTCAATCAATACAAGCTAAATTATTAATTTTCTGTCTTTAAGGCCAAATGAATGCCCTTTTTATTTTTCTGGATTCAAATTAAATCTGGAAACTTTGCAGCAAAAACAGGGCTGTAATCCTATCCGGAGTGAGGCAGAGTGACTTGCTCCAGCTCACACATCCACATGACTGGACAGACAAGTTGAGAACACAGGAGTGTGATCACTTGGGGCTCAAATAACGTAGCCTACAAAACTAGTAAGAAAAAACAGAATATAAAAATCATAGATCTGAAAGCTAAAAGGAATCCTAGAAAACATTTATTCAGGTCATTAGTCACCTCCTTGCCCAGATGAGAAATTGAGACTCAAGGTCAAGTGACCTTCCAAGGCCACAGCTAGTTAGAAGCATAGCAAACCCCAGAATCTAGGTTTCTTGCCTTAACTATACATTGGGAAAGAGGTTACTTTTTTTCTGATCTGATATCTGATTAATCTCTCAAACAATTCTACATTTACATCTCACTTCTGTGAATGTGTAAAAGTTGAAATACGGAGCTTACTGTGACAATGCTGTAGTGATTGGGGAAGGTTTTTGATGGGTAGACTGGTCTCATGTTTTTAGCGTACGCGCCACAGTTTTCTACAAAGGAAAAATATTAAAGATTGTTATTAAATACAACTGACTATCTGTTTACCTCATGTAGCTTTGCTGACACAACAGTCTAAATCATATGAAAAATAACCGAGGAGGAGTTTGTAATCACATATAAATTCAGGGGGATTATAAAACAAAATTTTGCATTCAAATTCAATGTTAATATTAGTATTACTTTTTCTCTTTGTCAAAAATATCAAACAAAATAATTAAACCAATGAAGTAATTATCCCATACTAAACAGTAATATTTAGTTCCAGACAAACCAGTTGTAATAATGATGCTTGCTAGATCTTTGTTACTATTTAGTGGTCACATACTTAAATTGCAAGACAGTACAAAGCACAAAACAAAGCAACAGCCACAACAAAAAACTGAACTAACAGCTAAATCTGTAAAATTAAAAGTAGGGTGAGCAGCGGCTGGGGTGAGGGTCCCGACCCACAGATTCAGAACTAGCTGACCGGACAGGCTCAACGCTGCAGAAAGAGGCATGGCCTGGCTTTGGGTCGGAGATAGCGCAGAAGTCAGACTGCTCCCAATTCAGCCCTGGTGGTACACTCCTGGTCTCCTATGCCTGCTACTGAGGAAGGAGCATGGAACTAATGATTTCAGGATTTGAATATTCCATTGCCTGATAATGTTCCTTAGGTTGGGCATGTGTCCCGCTCACTGCCTTCCAAACAAAGAGTTCATAACCACAGATCACATTCCCCAATCATCCAAAGCTAGGACTTAGTCTAATTGTGTATTGGCTTCCTTTAAACTTCACATATGGACACCTACAGCTACTTAATGCTGAACTCAGGATGCCACATCAGGTGCCACTGAGACACGAACTTCCCTCCTAATGGTGACAGTGGGCCTGAGTCAAGCTTCAAAGCCCACGGGCCTGGCTAATGAGGACAGAGCCTTCCCTTCTTTACTAAAGAGTTTTTGTGTCAAATGATCATTTATAAAAACCATTTTATTCCAGGGAGATATTAAAAACTCAAATTTTTAGCAGTTTTCCAGAATTATTTTGGCTTGTCACAAGGTAAGTACAATAAATGTACATATGAATTTACTGGGAGTAATATTAATATTTAAACCAATTTCAGATACTCTAGTCCAGCAAATAATATTTTAGAATTCCAGAACACTAAATTAGTTGTAGTTACTTACTTCTAGTTCAATCCAGTATTATAGTACAGCTATTTAAATACTGATCACTGATAATTAGCAGAGTTCTACAGTGCATATCCCCATATACAAACTTCATTTCTTTTTCAATAACAACAATAATACAAGTGATACCCATACTGCTAGTGGGTAAAGTGATTTAAAACCTTTGCATTAATACTGAGAAAAGACCATTCTATTGCATTAGTAACTTACAGAATAATCATTCAATTAAGGCCTTGATTGAGACAAAGAAATTGGAAGGATACTGCAAGATATTACAAGATAACTAGCTGGCAAATATTCTATGGCTACACTACTAGTATCATATCAGAAGTACCTTCTGTTTTGAAATTCTATGTTAAGATGTAATACTTATTAAATAAAGAAATGGTTTTCCCATGAAAAATGGAAAATTCTAAGAAAAAATTTATATATATATATATGTAAATATGTATACATATATTAGCCAAAATATACGGGATAAAAAATCCTAAGATAACTCTATTATTTTAGAAGTATTTAAAAGGCAGCTTTAGAGTAATTACAATATTAAAGACTAGTTCCTTATCATCAGGTTCAACCACTTTGTATTTGAGTTTAGTAAAAGTCAAGTTCAGCCAGTACTTTTCCAAAACAGATTATTGCATCCCTAGTCTATCACACTGAAATTGTGATTCTCCAATAGTAAACTCTGAAGTTACTCACTTAGTTTGCTAATAACAGGAAGAAGTCCACCCCAAGTGTGTAAATATTCTGCCCTGAAACCATCCAAAGAAAATAAGAGGGTAGGAGGTGTTTCAAACCTGGGCAATAAGGGAAAGAAAAAAAAATATGTTTAAAGAAAGAAGACACACATCCAATGAAGAGTTTCTCCCTCCTTGGCAAAGACCCAGTGAAGATTTTCCACTGAGGTTGGTATGTAATCTAGACTAAACTAACAAGCTCAGCAAGCACCCTCATAAAGGATATTTTATAAGCATTTATTTTCATATACAAGGTGCTTTCATTATTTTATTATATATCATCAAATAGTATTTATTAAGCCCTCATACCATTGAGTTACCATACCGAGAATATCATTCATGGTTTCTTCTATTGCACAAGCTGACCAAATGGTACTAAAAAATAATATTTTCCCAATATGAAGGAGGAGAAATGCTAACACACAGTCTTTTCTAAATTATATTTTTGTTTCTATTAATTTTTTTCCTGAACAATCACTTTTTGATACTATCTCTACTTGAATCTACTAGATGTCACATAAATTATATACAATATTAAGTTTTGAAATTTAATATATTTAACAGAGAAGTTTAAGAGGTATTTACTGCATTTAAATGTGTAAACGATAAAGAAATGATCCAATGCTACAAATGAACAATAACAACGCACACCCATGTGTGAACACACAGTTAATGTGTATGGTGTGGAAATCTAAACAGGGAGACAAAAAAGAAAAAAATACACATGCAATGATATACTCAGCCAAAGAGAATAACTATAGGCAACTGTTCATGGCCTCACCAAAACAGGCCGGGTAATACTGTGCCTTCTGATGGTATCGTACATGGCGGGAGAGCCGTATACCGCCGAATAACCATGAGAACCTTCCGCTGAAAATTCGCTCAGTTATTCAAAACCTGAGAGCCAATGCTTACCTCGCCTTGCTTGTTTCAACTTGATCTCCTCCCCAGCTTACTCTCATATACAAACACAAATAGAAAAAGGAGAAAACGTCTATAAAATTTATGTAATTTATACTAACTAGTGTTTGCAGCAGAGCTCTGTTGTGTGACTTTGCAGAACCAGCTGCATATGGTCTCAGTGGTCCACATCTGTGTTGCCATTAACATTCAAGCAACAGAAAACAGAAAAACAGTTTCCTAGACCACCAAGTAAATACACTGGCATAACAAGTTCCAGTATAATAAAATTTATTTTAAACTATGATCTTCTTGTAAAGAAAGAGGTTACATTTTCCACTAAAAAGTCAACATTAAAACTGAAAAATAATAATCATTGTTTGGAAGGAAAATAAGAATTCAAATTCATTAAGTTTAAAATGTCCAATATACCTCGCACTTCAAAGCAGCTTAGGATGCATGAGAAGTGACCTTTGAAAAAAAAAGCCTCTTTCTTTGGAATGTTTTCACTTGAGTTTAGTTTTTTTCTATTGCTATTACTATAATTTTAAACAACAGAAATATATTCTCTGATCCAAAAGAAAAAAATTTTTATTTTATACAGCAAAAATAAATTATATACATAAATAAAATAAGCTAAAATACAGATATAAAATGTTTCCTAGTTTGGAAGAATCATCATTTTAAAGAAGTAAAAATATATTTCTTAAGATGAGTAATTCAAATGACATGAGGTGGATTTCAAGTGGAGTAAAGCTAAATGTACCTAACACCTTTTATAAAATTTCTGCAATTTGAATCCCACAAAACCTTTTTTGATGGACTTGTATACATAAAGTACTGTGCAAAATAAGGGCAAAAGAACAAATATGAACTGTAAAAATTATGTAACATCCTCTCACAGATGTGTTGCTTATCCTCAATATGTTTAAGTGTACCAAAATGCAAAAAATAAAGAGAAGCCGTAATTTGCGACAAGTTCAACTCTCAAAATTCCAAAGGAAAGAAGAGGGAAGATACAAATATTTCCACCCAACACTCATGAATACTAAAGACTATATACTCATCACCTTTTTTTCTACTACCTTCCAGATTGGGGGATCACACATTGCCAGTTCGAAATATGAGGCTTAACTACAAATCATGTTTAATGAACCAATGAATAATTATTATTTTCATCTTTTCAATTAGGAAAAAAAACATTGGTATTTCTAAAAAGAAAAAATTCTTATCTCAGAATATCATCTTACCCTGCTGGGCACTGTGGCTCATTAATGCTCTCACAGGATTCTTCTACCCAACCTTTCTCACCTAAGTATTTTAAAGAAATAAAACACATGAACACACTTGATAATAACAACAATTGTGATGCTTGTGAGACATATTAGGACAGATTCCCAAAACAGAATGTGTTAACATTTATATAAATAATATGGAGTACGATTTTAGGGAAATATAAGAAAAAGAGGGAGGTAATCTGTTTCAAAATAAAAATCTGTTTCCAAAGAGTTAGTTGATACCAGGAAGAGAAAAGCAAATGTGTGATCGCACGACTAAACGTAACGTTATCTTTGTGAGACCTTGAAGGCATCTTTTCCATTTTCATTTTTTACTAAATTTATCAAGGTGACAGTGGTTCATAGGGTTCAGGTGCACATTTCTATGACACATGATATATATTGCACTGTGTGTCCACCACCCACGGTCCAATCATATTCATTCCATTAGCATGTAATGGACCCCCTTTTCCCTTTCCAAATTATTCATATTTTCAATGAAAATTTACAACTCTCCTTCTATCCGCCCAACAAAAACTTCTAGGCAAGGCATCCTAATAACACAAAGGTACGTACTACCTATAATCTTTTGCAGTAATTTCATATCCACTCTCTCAATGCATGGCAGATATTTTTTTTTCTAATATAAAAGTGTGAGATGGTGTCCATTTGCTAAGAACTCAAAACCTAACTACGGAGAGAAAGTAAACACATGAGACTACAATAACTGACAAGAGAGAATATGCAATTAAGTTTGAAATGAGTGACACAGGCAATACGTGAGAGAATAGGTCAGAAACAAAGAGACAGGATGGATGCTCCTCCCCGTGTTTTAACATAAGCTTCCTTTTAACGATCTAAAATACTACCTACTCAAATCTAAGAACTTAATTTTTTTGAAAAAGAAAATGTAATCTTAACAATATGCCTTAGGAAGTTGAGTTTTCAATATTCTCCCACTGCACATTTCACAAAATAAACAGGTTATCCTAAATGCCTAAATGATTTCTGATAAGAATCTAGGGAATGGGCCTGGCCTGGGGCTTGGTTGGTTGGAGCGTTGTCTCATGTACTTGGTTTGTGGGTTTGGTATCCGGTCAGGGCCCATCCCCAGGTTGCGTGTTTGATCCCTGGTTGGGGCACCTATGAAAGGCAACCAATCAAAGTTTCTCCTTTCACATTGATGTTTCTCTCTCTCTCTTTCTCTCTCTCCCTTCTTCTCTCTCGAAAATCAATGAACATAACCTCAGGTGAGGATTTTTGAAAAAAGACTTTAGGCAATGTGGAATCACCTTTTCCCCAGCCATGATGACCCATCTGATGCAATGCTATATTCTTGCTGAACTTTTTTTTTTTTTTAATTTGAGTAAGTGGTCAGTTCCCTTCCTGAGACCCTCTGACCCAGCTCTGTGCCGGGATCCCCAACAATCTGCAATAGCTACTGACTACACTTTTAGGAAATAGGGAGACAGTATCCTGTGGAAAAGTTTCCTGTTCATTTGAAAAATGAGCCTCCTGAGTCCTAAGAGAGGCAGAGGCCATCATAAAGGACAAGTTTACTTTTATTCAGTAAGGCATAGAGATATTGCTCATTCTTGGAGCACGGCCCCTGAAATCCACAAGCCAGCACTCTCACTGATGTCTTGGAATCTTGTGACCACGCTCATATTTACTGAGCTATGTCAGGCTATAGTGTGCCCAACAGTAAACCTATCATTTAAGCTCCTCCTATTACTCATGTCATAAATTCAGCATCTAAGTTGTTGCTATTTTTTAATTGAATTCATGGGAGTATCATGGCAGACTTCATCCTCATTTTTTAGGGGGGAAGCTGGAACATAAGAGTCAGTCAGGATGACCTTTCCACAACACAGCAGTAAATATATAGCTAACACCAAAATAACACGAGGGGGTGGCAGCAGGTGAATGACTGACTATAGACAAAGGAAGACTGGCTGTGTGCAGATAATAATTGTTGCTAAGAATGGGTACACTGTTCATTACATACTCTCTGTTTACTCACATATATGCTCGAAATGTTCTTAGCAAAATGTTTCAAAATATTTTTTCAGCTAACGTAGTTGGTCAATAAATATGATTCCTAATGTAAAAAAATAAAACCTATGCAAAACCCAGCTAAGACCAAGGAGAGGTCAGGCTGCTGTTGAGCCCGGTGAGCATGCGGAAGGAAACCCGACCTTGACACACAGGTCTGTAGTTGATGCAGCAGTCACCACGGTCCCTGCAGTCGTCCGAACAGGAGCAGAGGCTTCTGGGCAACCTTTTCTCACCACACCTGAATTTGCTGCAAGTCCATATGCGCTCTAGAAATAAGTATCAACAAAGGTGTTATGGTCCGAGTGTAACACATCCAGAGCAAACTCAGAACCGTGGTCTTCTGGAGCAAAACCCATCAAAGACAACAAGCTAGTCCCTGCCTCATAGTCACTCATAGACTTTGCCATCACAACAGTCAACGACAACCAACAGACAGAGAACAGGCAGGCCGCAACTGTGATTATTTCACTAAAACCCCAGAATCTCATCATTTTAAAATGGGTCAAACAATTCTTGTTACACAATTCATATGAAGATCTTGGCTTTTCCTGCCAGCCATTTTCGGGGTTCTCAAACTTTAATCTAAATCTGGCTCACCCCCATTGAAATATCATTCCATGTTCCACATCAGACTGAGAAAAATTTCCATGTTCAGAAGGTTTTATTTTAAAGTTTAAGTGGACATCTAAGAACTCTTGCTTTAATAAGCCATAATGAAAATATTCACATATTTTCACATGAACTTGGTTTAAACACACATTAGACTGTGCAGGTTTTCAGCAAACATTAAATATAGGCACAGTTTTGCTGTCCATACAATGTTTCATAGCAAAATATGTGAATTTTTTTCTATAAGGGAATATGAAAACCAAATTTTTAAAATCTCAGATAAGTTAGGTAAATCACAAAACTAAAGATGCAGAACCATCCTGTGATCTTGCACAAATGCCCATAATGACATTTTTTCCCTGCACGTTTTTACCTGGTTCTATACATGTCTCCTGGTAATCTAGACAGCAGTTTCCAAGTTCGACGCAAGCAACATCACAGCGACAGTTCCCAAATGTTCTTTCAAAACAGCGACCTTTGCAACTCTTAACTGAAAATATTGAACAATCAGTTAAATGTTTCTAATCATTACAGAATCACAGAGCAAACATTAACTAATACACCTAGGTTGGGGGTACAGATCAAATTCAAATACTACTTCAGAAAACACACATAGGAAAATAAAGCTATCTAAGAATCTTTCACAAACACACAAGGAAACTGATACAAAGAGAAGGCAACATTATGTACACAGTTTATGATTCTCTCTCTTGCCATAGAAAAAAGAGAACTTTTTTCTTTCTTTTATTTTTTTTTATTGTTGATCAAGTACAGTTGGGAAGAGAACTTTTTTTCTTTCATGTATCACGAACACTACTGGGTCTGATAAGGCTTAAAACCTTTTATGGTACGGTAAAGAAGGGTCAGGATGGGGACTTGTTCTAAAGGTTGGCTTAAACAGCCATAGAGTTTCCCTAAACTTTCAACATGTGTGAAAAGATTTTTAGTGATTATCTTTGAACCTTTGAGAAAGAGAAAGAATACCTGACATGCCTTACGCCCAGTCTCAGGGTGCAGAAGTGATGCGATTGTGCAGGACACATTCTGCGGGACCGCCCCTTCCACCATCACTGGAAACACCCTTTTCACCAGCAGACCCAGCCCGGCTCCTTCCAGGGACCTTTCCCAAACTCCCCAGTCTATGTCCACTTTCCTTTTTGAAGCTTTTAAAAAATCTTATCCTTCCTCTCAGCCCCTGAATTGCATTTGTAACTACAGTATTTGATTAGGATCCCAGCCTCAGACAGGAATCCAACTTCCAGAGAACAAAGGTCACAACTAAATTCTGCCCTATACAAATGTATCCCTTATACCCACAAGACGCTTGACTAGAAATTGTACTAATAAGTTTCCATCAGATGGATAAATGACAGATGTGGAAGAGAAGACTTTTCATTAAAAACAATAATTTTACATTAATTCTTTACTAAATATTTACAAAAACCTATGACTTTATTAGATTTCTAACAAATTGGGTTGATAAAGAAAAAAATGGAAATCTAACAAGAAAAAGGAATAATCCTAGATCTTGACTTTAATAGTCTTCCGAACCAACAAAGCACTGCCACAAAATTTAACTCCCATGACACTGGAAAGCTGGGCAATTTTAAGGACCTGAAATGGCAATGATAATTTTTAGAATCAAAAGTACTTATTTTCCTGACTCAGGATGGGGAGGGGGGTTATTAGAATAGTAGCTATTATTTTAAGCCCATTAATATGCACCAAGCAGTTTTTAAAAATACCTTGCACACTATGTAGGGTTTAGATTAAAATTGCTAATTTTATGTGTCAACCTGAACTCAAGGTAAATTACTCTATATCAAAAAACTATACAGGTAAACACTAAAGTCTGTAGCTTCTTAATTTTTGCTCTGAATATAGGCATACCTCATTTTACTGTGCTTCACAGATGCTGCAGTGTTTTACAAACTGAAGGCAAGACCCTCAACCAACAAAAAGATTACAACTTGCTTTGCTGCCATACCAGCTCTAGTGCAGCAGTCTGGAACCAACCCTGCAATATCTCTGAGGTGTGTGCCTGCAGAGTGTTGACTCAATACATAAAATTACTACATTTCATTCATTTCAATAATAAATGACAGCTTAGCGATCACTGAAAAAATTTTAAATGACTAATATTACAATTACAGAGTAGTTGAGTATGAAAAGAATTTGCAAAGAATTTTCAAAACTGAATTCTCTAAGGAGACCATCAATAATCTTTACAAGGGGGAAGAGAACCTACCTCAAAGGCAAAATGACTACTAGAATGTCCCGTGATTTGGTTTTATTATTTACAGTAATCTTAACAATGCTGGATAATTTCTGCACTCACTATAAAAGAGAAACACATGTAGAAGCTTCAAAATACTATGATTGCTTTGAAACCACCACTGTCCACAATTTTAAAAGCCTGAAGAGCAGGTGAAGATCAATTTTTGCTTGCCTAGGGATGCTGACTGGTCACCTAGTAACCTCTAGAGCTGCTTTACAACTAGCTGCTTGGGGAGAAAGTATCCTGGGAGTGCCTGGAGGAAGTCAGAGAACTCCGGGAGTGTGACACCACAACCTGCTGGCTATGTCTGGTGGGGATTTTTGTTCTCGGTTTATTTTCTGTTTTTCAGTTTCTTTGGTTGGTTTATTGATCATAGCCCCTCTTTGTTGTTTTGGGATAGGTTTTGCAAGTAAATAAAATATTACATGGCTAAAATAAAAAATAGAGTTTTAAAATGGCTCAAATAAGCATCAAATATGCAATATTTATGGAGTAGCCATAGGATTAACTCATCACACTCTGAAGGTCGAATGTCAACACACACACACACACTGTACTAATTACCTTCTTTGGCACAGCTTGGTTTCAACCCAAATATACAACCAAGGATTGTTGTTAATACACAGACTGACAATACCTGTAGGGAGAAAAAGAGGAAATTATATAGCCTCAAGACCATTTTGTTTCTTCACATGTTTTTTTTCTTCAAATGTTTCTAAATTTGCTGCTGTTACCCTATTTCCTGATTGGGGTGCTGGTCACACAATTGTGTTCACTTTGCAAAAATTCAAACTGCACTCATATTTTACGGGCTTTTCTGTATGTACGTTAAACTTCAACCACAGTTCTACTTAAATGTTTGCAACAAATCTATGCATCCAAGCTTAATACTGTCAGAAATTTTCCACTTGGTATAAATTAATCCAATTAGAGAATTTGTAATTATTAAGAGAGAAAAAGAGGGAAGTCCAGTTAGAGACTCAATTTCCTATTTGTTAATCTATAAAAGGTGATGCGAGTATCGGATGTTTCCCTTAACAGTTTGACACAAACTGGTACACAAACTGGTACACAAACCTACACAGTATCCTCACATGCACTGCGGCAGCTTGTGGCAACGAGCACTGGACAGGGTTAGGTGAGTACATCTCCGGTCCAAATGTCACCACAAGTTGGTTGTACAATTTGGGACAAGTCACTTAAGAATTCTAGACAGCAGTTTATTCACCTGTAAATTAAAGGGTTGGTCTACATGGATCCCTAAAAATATTTCTAGTTCTAACATCTTGGTTCTTTCACATTCGCTACTCTTCTTCTGGCCTTTGACATTTTAAAATAAGTGGATATACCATTCAACTCTGAAGAACAATGACAGAACTTTTATTTGTGAGTCAGAAGAAAAAGAAGAATCCATACAACAAACCGTAATATTTCTATGGGATGGTGTTTCTTTGACAGCTCTCTGGAATGTCACTTTATAGGACAATTCAACAAAATATTAATTGAATACCAACGATGTGTGAGAACTATGCTATGCACGGAAGGAAAGAGTATGGGGTACCTCAGGGAGCTTGTTTTTGTGGAAGGAGGGAAATATAACAGCATAAATGGCTCATATTTGGTAGCCTCTACAAAGCAGTTGCAGGGTTCTATTGTCATTTAAAGGAGAAAGTTTAGGGTGCTTGGGGATAGGAAGCGCAGAAAGTGCATCCTAGGTAAAGCCTCTACGGACCAATGAGGGACTGATACTGCTGGCACACTGCCTGCCGTGGGAGCGAAGACAGTACACAGCAGAGCAAATCTTTGGATCTCGGAGGAAGACCAGCATAAGGAAAAGCTGGAAGAAAGGCAGGCCCGTGGAAGGTGGCATGTGAACAATCAGTAGTTTCTTTTGGCTGGGACGAAGAAACTGCAGAGGAGAATGGACAGGGACTAGGGTGGAGGCATGGAAAGGTAGAGTCATATTTCCCAAAGGCCAAGATGAAAAGATAGTAGAGACAGGAGGAACAGGTGAACTGGGCAGGGTGAATGCTGGGTGGTGGCTTTTATGAAGAACACATTTCTTCAAATGAAACATTGAGTAGTGATGCCAGACTCTAGGCTAAATAGTGGCTACTTGGTAACAAAACAGGCATGACCTCTGTCCTCGAGGTGCCTAGCCTTAGACTACAAGAACTAAAGGGGAGGTGAGTGATAAGTAAACTGAAGCAGCAGGTCTCACTTATTTCCAAAAAATGGGGGTAAAGGAAAGGAGAGCAAGAGTGTCATGGGTCTACAACACTACAGTGTCTAGGCAAGGCCCCCTCCCTTTTTTTCAGGAAATCAAAAATGTAAGTGTATTTATGTCCATTAAAATAGGGAACCATCAGAAGAACAGCTTGAACAAATAGCTAAAACCAGCAGAGGCATGTTGGGAACTGCCCTGCCTGGTATCAGAAGCTGTAACCCCGGCCAAGGCTAAGGCTGAGGGAGTGGCCTTGGACCGTAAGCCAGCAAGGAGACAAAAGCTTATCTCCCTGGCAGGAGCACTGCTTCTGCTGCTTCATTCATAACTGAACCCCAAAGCTTGGTCAGTTAGCCAAAGATGGGTAAGATTCCCCAAGGGGGGAACGATCTAAGACAGGCATGATCACATGGGAGGCCCCCAAGAAAGAACTTTAGGGGCTACAGCAAAAGGGGGTGATGGACGCTCACTCCTTGGCTTTGACATAGCCTGAGTCCTCATCATCTGGGAGAAAATCTCCTTATCTCTTGGTTGCCTTAGTTCCCTTGCTCCACCTAAGCCTGAAACAATGACAGGGTGGTGCAGCCCTGTGCTGAAAAGGGCGGGTTCCCCGGGTGATCAGGCCTAAGAAAGAACATGTAAATTCCTGTGAAACCTGCTTCGTTTAGAATGCTCTCAGTTGAATGATAAGGGTCCAAGGAGGAAGTTAGTTTGTTCCTTAAAGTTTTACAGCTCTTTAGCTATCTGACCCTGACTCAAAATAGGCCCTCAGACTTTCTTGTTATCTATTGTTTGATCCTTACTTCCTAGCAATGAGTAATGAGCTTTTACCTGAATTCTTATTCAAACGAAACCAATAAAAAGCCTCTCCGGAGGGGGAACGAGGTGCTCCCCACATGAGGAGTGGCCCTGCTGTTCCTATTCCCCCACAGGACCTGGTTGTCTGTGTATGTTTTTAGCATGTTTTGATGAGCATCCGCAGCCGAGATGGATACTGCTGGCCGGTATCATCCATTACAGAGGCAGAACAAGGTATCAGAAGAGATTACTAATGGATTCTCCTAAACCTTTGATGATAGTGTAAATTGTCACAACCATACAGATGCATAACTTAAAGGTATCCATCAAAAATATTAAAAACTCTCTTACTGTCAAATCTATAGGGAAATGAAGAAAATAGTAAAACTAACCTGTATTTAATATACTATAATTTAAAACAGAAAATTAAAGTTTAAGTTCATCATAATAAACTTTTCAAGAATAGTTAAAACTATTCTTTAAGTTTAAACAATGCTTATCTTCTCATCACATAACTTACAATACAGAGTGAGAATCTTTTCTATGCCTTTGTGAATTGTCACATTCTTAGTTTAGATTAGTTTCCAGTGCTTTAATCTTTGCCCTTTCAATAGTAAGAAATATCTTCAAGAGTTCCTTTAACATGAATTTTGCGGTCAGTGTCACTTCCTCTGAGACATCTTCACCCTTTTCATCACAACCACACTCCTTTATGTCAGTACATCTGTCATCAATAAGTTCCTCTGGCTACATATGCAGAGCCTAGGAAACAGTGACAGTGTTAACATTCCATGGTTAGCTATTTCCTCCTCATTTACATTCAATTTGTAATTCACCTCCAGTATTATCACTTTTATTTTTTAACCACTGGCTTAAAACATATATGGTATATATAGACCTTTACCCACTTGTTACGCTACAGAAGAGATACAGTGGTTTTTTAAGTCACCTCTTCTTTGCTAAATATTACTTCAATTTACCTTTTATAAGACAATGTATAGTGTGTAATTGAAACAGAAGTACAACAGGAGCAATCATTTCTCACCTATAATCCCACCCATAAAAGATGAAATTTAGATTACCTACTACTACATTACACAACACCCAATCTGAATAATTTCCAGTAGGAAATTTCTCATCAACAATTTTGAGAGCTGCGAAATCTAATTCCATTTGAATTTTCTTCTCAAATTAGTTTAATTCTATACAACATAATAGCATAATTTCTTTATAGAATAAAATTATAACTTCAACTCTATCTCCATTTCTAACTTACGATAACCTTCAAAATATATACTTCATGTCTCTGTATTTCCAACCCATGCTCAACCTCATCAAATTAAATGAAGAAATATTAATGCCTGGACTTCTAGTCAAGATGGCAGTAGAGGCAGACATGGTCGCCTCTTCGTACAACCACATCAAAATTGCAACTAAAATATAAAACAACCATCATTCATAACCATCACAAATCAAGTTGAATGGAATTCTGACAACTACAGAATTAAAGAAACTATATCCATCCAGACTGGTAGGAGGGGTCAGACACAAAACAGGCTAGTTCCTCACCCATGTGGATAAAAATTTGGGAGGGATATCTCAGAAGCAAGGAGTCCCAGCCCCATACCAGGCCCCCTCAGTTCAGGATTCCAGTACCAAGAAGGTAAGTCCCCACAACTTCTGGCTGCAAAAACCAGCAAGGATTGAGTTGGTAGAAAAAAACTGCTGGAGAAGCAGTTCCTCTTAAAGAACCCACAAGTAGACTCACCTACTCAGACTCACTCCCTCTGAGGTCCAGCACTGGGTTAGTAGCTTGAAAGGCACCAGCGGCATAAAGGAAGGACTCAAGGTGAGCAGAGGTCATTGTACCTTTTCTAAACCCTCCCTCCACAGAACCATACACCAGCAAGCTGGAGGCCAGCAGGAGGAGGAGGCAAGCTGGTGCCATATCTGAGACTCTGGCTAACACCATTTGACCCATTGTGGACATCCCCTGAGACTCTGACCCACACAACTCATGGGTCCACCCAAGCTGCTTTTTCATATGAATGGCTAGAGTGGGCTCATGCTTCACAAATTCTTAAATCCTATCAAAAAAGCAATAGCTGGCCTCAGTGAGCCATAGGACTGGCACTAGCAGCAGCCAGCCTAGATTCACAGCTTGACTTCGCCTGGGAGCCTCTAAGCCCAGGACAATTAGCAGCCATCTCAGATCACTTTACAGCCCATACAGGGTGGCCTAGGGCAAAACACAGGTGGGGGCTGACCTTGTCTGCTCCACCCCGGAAACCCCTGGACAAGCTCACCCAGTGGACAGCTACGACCATGTCGGAGTCCCACCACCCTGCCCCTGCACAGCTAATCCTCCATGGAGGGTGGATGTTGGTGGTCAGTGGTCACAGCCAGTTCTTGCAGATGAGTGGCCTGGGTAAATCCTCCCATTGATTTGCCAACAGCAACCAAAGCTCAACTACAAGAGGAGGGTGTATTCAACACACATGAAGGGCACACCTCAAGTACCCAGCTTGGGTGACAGAGGAGGCTGTACCACTGGACCCTACAGGACACCTACTACATTAGGCCACACTACCCAGAGAGGGAGTCAAAGCAGCCCT